GCCCGGATGAACACACCATGACATTTAGAATCAGATGTGCCTGTTTGGGTGTTACTTGGTATAAGCAGTGGTGCTTTGATTGTCACTTGGGCTTCAAAGCTCTGCACTTGTCGTCCGAAAAAGTTCCTGGAAACGACTGTGTCTAGCATTCCCAGCTGAAACGAGAATAGTTCTATTGGCATTGGCGAATTCTTCTATGAGCATTCAATATTATAAGACATAGGCACATACCATTGAGGTAGCATTGCTTATGATACATATGGTGACATAAAACACTTATTTCTCATCTATGGTGACATAAAACACTTATTTCTCATCTATCTGTTAAGTCCCAGCTTATTCTGGAGTTTGTTCAGAACCGAAAACACTGTTTTAAATTTTGTTCGTATGCCAAGACATTTTCACCTGGAATAAAACTCTTACACATCAGGATAGTTTCGAACGTACTGCATATTGTAATTATCATTCCAAGTGTTACAGTCACGGCCACATGTCATACAGCAAACAGCCATTAAAACAGACGATAACCTGGGATAAGCCTATCGGTATAAATTAAACACTCTCATTATGGCCTATGGTGACAAACAAGCTGTTGCCATCAAATACTTCATTTTAACGATACTTTATAGCGTAGCATACTTATCGATATGCAGGATAGTGGGTACATTCATCAAACTGACTGCCGCTAGAAATGAAACAACTTACTGTTGGCTGACCACCGTCCTTTTGATTTTCTGTACACTTCGACAAAAGAATCATTCCTGCACATGTCCCCCACACCACGTGGCCCTTTGTTTGTATCCAGTTCCTGAGTGGTTCTTCCATGTTGTTCCTCTTCAGGAATAAACTGATGGTGGTGCTCTCCCCTCCCGGTATAATCAGCCCGTCCATGTCGGGGGATAGATGGTCTGGATGACGCACTTCCATTACTTCGAGCTTTATGGTCGTTTGTAAACACTGATTCGCCCTCATTAGTGCCACTTTGTGTTCTTGAAACGCACCCTGAACCTCTAGAATGCCGACTTTTATGTGTTTGTTTTGGCTTCCGTTGAGTCCAGAAGGCGGCATCTTTGATCCTAGCAAAGAATACAAATATATCAGACCCTGGTAGTCTTAATTTACCGTGATATTTACTTGTATGTAGATTATGAAGTAACAGGATATCAGCTGCTTTCAGATAATGACCTTGGCCTACATTCCTGACCTTGGACTACATTCCAAGTCACACATGTCAGTTCATTTCAAACAAGTTCTAATGAATCTTGGGAGAACATACAGTAAATGATATTCAGCTTTTCTGCAATGAAGAGCAATTTTAACTCGTTAAAATAAACTATGGTTTAACCTCAACTGACCTACATAATAATCGCAAGGAGCCCCTCAAGGTCACTGGGTTAAGGTTTGTTATTGTACGAATATTCTTACATTGAAAGTTTGAAATTCGACTAGATTCCCGTTCCATCTTTTATTATTGGGTGCAATGCCCCTCAGATTAATAGATCAATGAACCACAAGGCAATATCCTGCTGGGTACTAATACAAGTAGAAACGAAAAAGAAACAAAATTAAATGAATTCCATTCCGTCCCATTTCTATATTTTCGCTGATTTTGTTACATTTCTGTTTCCTTTTGATCATTATACACTTTTTGATCTACTTTTCGTTTAGTTTCTACTTTTAGTAATACCCATATATATATCCGAACTTTACTCGGAAAGTCTGACATCACTATCTTTCTGTCTATGTGTCTGTCTCTCTATCTTTCTGTCTGTCTATGTCTGTGTGGATTTTGTGTATGTCAGTATCTGTTGTTTTCTTTAATAGCAATAA